ATACAGATACTCCGATGCTTTGGAGATGTGCCAAAGGTCATGAATGGTCTACAACCCTTTATCGAATAAAAAATATGTGAAGATGGTGTCCACAATGTACTTGCAATTTTCCTTGTGGTCTTATAGAAGCAAAGAAAATTGCTCACAGTAGAGGAGGTATGTGTCTTTCTACAAAATATATAAATCTCAATGTTCCGATGCAATGGATGTGTAGTAAGGGGCATAAATGGGTTACCAATTTTAATAATATAAAACACTCTAAATCATGGTGTCCATATTGCTTATTTAAGCAAGAAACCTTATGTCGTGAAGTCATAACTAATATTCTTGGCCCACCTTCTAACATCCGCTGACCAGATTTCTTGAAAACACCGGAATATCCTCGAGGTTTAGAACTTGACATCTACTATCCGCAATATGGATTTGCTATAGAAGTACAAGGTAAACAACATGAGCAACATATAAAACATTTCCACAAAAGATGAGGAAGACTTTGAGAAACAATTAATACGCGATCAACTCAAGAAAGAATTGTGCGAAGAAAACTGGATTGTTTTAAGATATGTCTGGTATTTCGAAGACCCACATATAGTTATTCCAGAACATCTTCAAGAATTGGGTCTCATTGAATAGAGTTAAAACTTCAAATGCCTCAAGTGCATTATTTTTTTCGCAAGGCCAATTACATATGCATTGATCTTTAAATTTATTACTGCTAATAGCTACATATGATTTAATTAATTACTGAGTTGGCCACATACAAATATGCCACATACAAATATACCACAAGAATCAAAGGGTTATATTCATAATATACGTGGCAGTCTTACTTTTCCGACTTTTTCTCCTTTGCGGGAGTTCGAAATTTATTTAGCACTACTGTTGGTTGAGAAGACTCACTAGTCCTATCTTTTTTATCTTTAAAGGTTTTAGACTTCTTAGCAAGAATGTTTGTCATCCGTCCTACACGTTCTATAAGATTCTGTTAAATTTATTAGTAAAAGCTTGATAACTCAAAGCAAAACTGTTCAAAAAAACCAACGTACCCCGTGAACCAAAAATCTTTTACTTAATAGAGCAATTTCTCCCACGTCTGCATTTTTCGTTGGTAGGTATTCCGAGGCCCAACCCAAATACCGTACAGGTCTCCGCTGATTTGAAAAAGAAGATAGAACCGAATTCTCATTCCAACTATATGGAAAAACGGTATCAATATCGAAGCCATTGCATTTTGTAGACTCTCCGGCAGAGGATTTCTCCCACTCTGCTCGATCATTTGAATCTCAAGTTTGATATGTTGTGCCCTGGAGACCTTAATCACATCAACGAAGTTTGTCCTCGCCTTGTCATGATTATCTTTATGGGATGGTCCGCTGTTTTCGCCGATACCAGCTTCTCGAGATGAGCTCTACATATAAAGCCCTATGTTAGGATTAACTTGTTAATTTTTCATAACCGAATGAGACGTACCCAATATAAGAAATCGCATGATTTGCCAACACGACTGTTCTGCGACCGAGTTGTTTTATCTTCACGGTCAGCATCTGAATGGTTTTCGCCACTATAAAGGAGAAAAAAATACTTAATAATACAGATAAATGATCAAGAATAAGCCAAATTTCTTACTATGTGAATATAGTTTGCGGAGTTTTGGCATAAGGTCCAACAAGGAACATGTCGACGGTTCGTTCAGATTGACATTGTCCATTAAAACGACTGATCCATTCGTAACTATTATAATTATTGGAGTTTATTAATCTATTGTAATACCATGTTTAAATTTATAACAAATGTAACCAAATTATCATGTGTAAGAAAACTTACGTGTCCTCAATGCATTTCCCGACATATATTGTAGTGTCATCATCAGCATCTACGTTTGCAAGATGATCTTGAATTATTTTTTTATCATTATCAACATCCTATTGCAAATTGGTTTGTTATAGAATTTATAGATTTGTGAGCGCTAAATCAGGATAATACGTAATTAATTTTATTCACCTGCATTTTATCAGCAGATCTTTGCAGAAGATCACGTATACCAACTACTCCACGTGCGCCACATTCCTTTGCGAGAAGTTGGATGCTAACGATTTCTGATAATAACAATGCTTCTAAAAGTGATATAGCTGATTTACTTATTTTTTCACTCTCTTCTTGAATAGCACTTTCCGTCATACTCAACAAACGATCGAATTCGTTTTCTGAGAGGAAATTCTTGGCACGGGGAAGGCTTGGACTCGGAGACACATTCTCCTCACGAAAGTCTAGGACACCCCACCAGAGTGGGCTACGGCAAGGAAAATATGAGAAATTAGCGCACAATGAATAGATAGGTGAATAGGCGGAACATAACTTACTTTGTGTGGGCAGATTCTTTGTTGTTTTGAATAGAATTGACGGCGTTAACGGCATTGATATATTCATCGGATGAGATATTAGACATATCTGTTCTGGTCTATGACATATTAAAACAAATGATTAAGGCATTGCATCAATACGAAACAATGAGATAAAAGAGATATAGAATTAGCCTAGCCTGACCTTCTTGTGATCTGGTGTGTTGAAATTAGAATGATCTTGAGAATTTTCCATTCGTGACTAGATGTTAGAAGAAAGTAAATTACTACACAAAAACGTAAATGTAATACTGAATTTTCTTAATAACTTACACAATCTCGCTTCTTAGAACTTGTTACAAATGATTCTAGCTTGTTGGATAAATAATTTCTTGCAGTTTTGGAGTCTTTGACCGAATCATCTATAATTTCATTGATGTATCCTAACTATTTACAAATCAATCAGTTCCTCTATGTGCAGTGCAGTATATGAACAATTGTAAAGCATAATTTACAGACCGAACTTTTTTCGCAATTGTCATTTAAACGGTTTTTCTCGATCCCGTTCCAAAAATTCACAACACTTTGAGAAATTTTCTCCCTCTTTTATTAAAAAGAAATGGATATTAGTTAGTATAAGATCGAATAGTACTTTTTGATTGTCTTACGCTGGACCATAACACAGCACGAAGCCTGACAACCAATTAGGACGAACCCAATCTGTTGCGTCATGGCAACTAACGTGTAGTATATTCAAGGGCGCCGAGGGAAGACGAACTCCTCTCTCACCCGCTAGAGCGAATCCAGCTGGCTACTCGGTGGTTGTCAATATGTCACGATGTGCCCTAAGACCGGAACATATTCTAGCCCTTGAACCCAGCGGTATTGCATACTGTAATTCTTGAGAGGAGTTGAAACTCTTTCCATTTCCTTTTTTGAATTACGGCAGGTATCTTTAGTATTGCATATTGCACACCTCAAATACTTAACTTCAAAAGTGAGAAGACATTTTTGAGCTTGCTCGTTGGAAAGGCTTGTCAACGCGCTTTTGTACAACATATGTTCCTGATCTTTTTCATATGTAAAACTTTCGGTTCTCGCTCTATACTTGAGAAACTTTATTAACGACCATGTCGAGTTATTTTCGAAAAAATCTGCCACTTTTTCTGGTGATGTTATTTGCGACGTCATTTTCATAAATGCTGATGTAGATAAAAGATATAGTCATAATGCATCAGTGGTTTGGGAACGGCTTTAGCCCGTTTGTTTTACATACCGAACTCACTTCACGTCTTTTTAAAAATTGAGGTGAATGAGAGAAGACGCGCTAAAAAATAATCAGTGTATATTTGGGAATTTTAAGATTGACAAGGCGCAGTATAAGAAAAAAATCATCCGTAGGTGTATCAAAAACGATACCTTTGCAATATAGTCACGTTGTGGAAAAGCAAGGAAAATTATCACAGATATATATACAACACAGCAAATAAAAATTCTTTGTCCGAAATTAGCTGGAGGCTGGTGAATGCCTAATTACCCGCTCTACTCTTCTATAACCAGTTTCCCTAGCTCGGATCTCAATACTCGACGCGCGATATTCTCAATCTCGGTTGTTTTTCTCTTCCTCTTTACTTTGATGGGATCTGGCTTGATGATAACGGGTTCCTCGGGTGTAATTATTTCTTGGGATGTTGAATTGGGTGGTTCACTAATATTCTTAGGATTCCAGTCAGGCAAATTTGGATCACCTATTGAGTTGGCATATGAGTATGGGTCTTTAGATTTCCAAATTTTATTACACTTTGAGTTGCCGATTTTATACCACTCCAAAACTTTTTTAGACCCACCCTTCAAGTCTCTGGCATACATAATACAATCGATATCCTCTTTAGCTAATCGTGCAAGAGGTGGTCTTGATTTGATATTCTTCTCTAATTGTTTCGAATCAGTATCTTTATTGAATTTTTTAGGCGCCATTTTGGAATGGAATTGCCGGAGGCAGCTACTTCGTGGCTATATTTAGCAAGAAAAAATAAATATGGCAGACAGGTAGGCCGACTTGCTTTCCTACATTAGGTAAATATAATTCATTAAACGAAAAATTATCATGTGGTATCACTTTATATAACTCGATAATTAATTTTTCTTTTTTACTCTGCGGCATCGTTTTGAATATATAACGGCCTTATGTGTCTTGACTATACTTGCACGCAAAATTATTTTGGGGTCCCGAAATTGCAATTTTGGGAAAAAAAGTTAAAATAGTTTTTCATAGAAGACGAAATTATTTTACTTAAAACCCGAAATTTTTTGACCACCCAGATTTATTCTTTGATTAAAGATACATATAACTAGGTACTTTTTTTACTTCCATATATAGAATAGATTTTGCATAAATCTCAAAAAGTCGAAATACCTCAAAAATCCAAAATCAATTTTGGAAACATGTATAGTCTTGACACTAGCTCCGCTATACACGTGCTTATCATCTGATTCTGAACTAGATGTGGAAGAACTACTTGTATCGGAGGTATCAGAAGAACCAAAGGTTCGATGCTCTGTATCATCAGAGTTAGAAGAAGCGGATTCGTAGAATTCATCAACATTATTTTTAGCACGCACTATAACTCTCCCCCCTTTCTTGGCATTAAGATCTTTGATACGCAATGTCATTCTTACCCAAGCATCCTCTGCGTCGGTCACAATTTCAGGTATATATGTTTGGAGTTTATCATCATCATATTTTCGACCATAAAAGGTAATTTAGGGCTATATTTTTCTACGAGTACTTCAGTCAGAATCGTGATAGATTTTTTGTTACAAAGACGAATATTATTACGGAGTAATGGGGCTTTGCCTCTATTTTTTATGTTAGAGGTGAATGTAAGTGGGATTATAGCCCATCTAATCGGGTGTGAAGTCATCTCTCTGAAGAATTTACTATCTTTTTCTCCGGAGGTCGTCTTTCTGTTAATTTTACCACCGATCTTCCTGAGGAGTTTATCAGTATACATTGAGGGTCCAAGAAATCCTGGTTCAAGGAGACAATTAATTTTTTGCTCTCCTACTTTAACTTTGACTATTTTTGCTTCCATAGTAAATTATATTATGTGATATATCTTTACCCAAAAAATAACTAATAATTAATTACCCATTCTTCAGTAATAAATGTAAATATTTATAAACCGCGTTGGAGGATTCTCTCTGAGATAATTAATAATTGCAGAAATACGATCCGTTTCATTTGATATATGACTCAAATAGTAGTCTCTAAAGGATCTGGTTATAGCTATCCCATTTTCTTGACCAGTAAAGATTGGAATAAGTGGAGGTAAATCAAAATCGGAGAATTCATCATCTGAATAATCTGGACGCTCGATTTTAGCTGAAGGCTTGCTCACACTAATTTTAGGATTAAGTTTTTTTATTACTTCTTCGTTAATCCCTGTACACCCCTCCAAATTAAGATATTTCAAATTAGTACAGTTGCGGGCTATTTCCTCAACAGCTTTATTACTAATCGAACAATTACCAAGCTCAAGATGTCTAAGTTTTGGACATGAGCGAACAATTTCAGTGATACATCAATTAGTAAGGCATATATATGAATTAAGACTCAGATGCTGTAGTTTCGGAGAAAATCTCGCAATTTCTATAATTAGTATGTTAAAAAAACCATCACTTCGATCAAGGATAAGAGTGTGTATATCTGAGCATGAGCGTAGAACCGTACTAATCAATGCATCTGAGATTTTTAAACCTTCCAATCTGAGATATACCATCTTGGAGCAATAGGTTGACTTTATCTTTCCACACATAACTTTTTTTAAGTTTATCAATCGCTGAGTAAGGGCTCGAGGCATCTTCCAACCATACCTACCCCTGTGATAATCTTCTTCTGTAAAGAACTCAATGCGTCGCCATAGAATAGGAGCACCGCAGTGATACCAAAGGTAGTTGACAAATAAAGCAGGATAGAGGGATCGATCGATTTCTAAAAAATACAAAATCTGTTCTAGTAATTCTGGTAAATTAAAAATATTTAGACATACCATTTTCAAGTTGTATATTATTGCAAAGCAATGGGCAAGGCCCTATATATCTTTAATCGAAAAATAACTAATGTTCAGATATTCAATTTTAAGCACATATAGTATTCATTTTTCCATTATTCTCAAACACATTCAGCTTCTCTACCAGATTATCTAATGACAGGTCTAATGATGAAATGGCTACATTTGTGATAAGAGCAAAGAAGTGTGGTTACTCTTCATCATAGAAACGAAATCTTACAAGGTTTTGGTATTTACACAATTATTTTTATTATTATTATATAGAATTCTCAAGTTTTTACAAATATAATTTGATTTAACTTTTTGATTTTAAAGCAATGAAAGATGCCGAAATTAATTTTTCAGTGGAGTACCTCGTTTCGGATGATATATCTAGAGATTATGAAAAAACAAGCGAATTCCGTTATATAAAAAAATTAATAAAAAAATTTAATAAAAGCAAATTTTTAGATTATTTTGATAAATGTCGGGAATGTGCTAAATTATTCCATGACCCTGATTTAGGAAGTTATTGTAAAAAATATATACTAAATAAACTAGGTTGTTGTAGAAATCATTGTTGTATTGATGAAAGAGCTGGACATTATATATTACATTGTATAAAAAAATTTGAAACCTATGATTTATTTGATAGTGACTTACAGAGTGAAAATGATATCGCATCTGATGATTAATAACTACTAATCTATTACAAAGCAGGCCATAGGCGATTCTCCGAATCATGGCTCTTCGAGCCTAAATACTTCCATATAAGCTATAGATATCTTCAATTTCATCGTATTCTTGTTTAATCATAGGAGAAATTGGCCTAGGCATTGGAATAACTGGTCTATCATTAATCATACCATAATGTTCAACTGATGAAGCATGGCCTATCTTATGCCTACATGCCAATTGTCGTAAATTTTGACAGCCAGTATCATTCTTACCTCCATGTACTCTAGAAACATGATCGGCACCTATTTTTCTTAATATAGATGAGGTAATTTTATGACGACTCAAGAATTGATTAAGAGGTGCAACATTAGTATTTCCATCCTTATCTTTTAACAAGAAGAGAAATTTATCTGGTATTGATTTCTGAATTTAGATAAGCAATTCATTTGCTCGTATTGGATTTTTTTCTATTGAAAGGAATGGCTGGGGTTCTTCTACTTCACCTTTATTTTTCGCATAACCAGTGCAATACCAAGAATAGTCAGAATTATACTATGATTCACGACTTGATCTGTATCTATTGATACAAAGAGTTTTTACTTCTGCTGACCGCATACATAGCATTACTATCACATCTACTAGATTTTGCATCGAAAGAGACCTGGTAATATTACATTCGTTAAATTTTTCTTGGACTTTTTTCAGGTAAAAGAACTCGGGACAATCGTAACCATTAATCTCACGAAGTATGCATTTTCTTGCTTGAATCTGATTTGCTTTTTCAGTAATAAAGAATATTTTCGTTGCATTAGTGATGAGATAATTAACTCCTAAGCTACGTAATTCTTTCTGTAATAAATTAAGACGAGAATTTCTCGCAACAGTAGTGGGGCAGAAGAAGCCAAGTCATATGCTATTCCATTTATCTCTTCAGGTGAGAGATTGTTTTTTATAATATTTTGCGCAATAGCCTTAATGAGATCTCTTTCCTCAACACGTCTCCCAGGAGCTCGAATAGGAATAAGAGTATCTGCTTGCTCCTTACTCAACTCCAACTGTTGGAAGCATCTTTTGGCCTGATCTCTGGCTTTTCGAGCCTGCTCTTTTGTCTTACCATTTGAAAGATTTCTAGTCAACTCTTCGGTATAACTACTAAGTTAGGGTAAACTAGTTTGAGGAGTCAATTTGTAGCGATTTACAAATGATGTAGCGATTTTTGCCATGGTTAATGAGTTGAGATGTTTTATATAGACTACTTTCGTCTGATATATACTATGGGGATTCTTTTTCAAATCGAAATTAATTATCTCGGGGTTGTATATACCCAAAAATTGAATGGGTCGTGGTTGATACAATTCTATTGAAAAATGGACATGGGTAAGGCACGAGATTGACCAAAGATTATGGAATCCGTAGCTCTGCGAAATAAGATTGCGCAGAATATAGTAGGATTAAAGAGGATATAGCATTGCTTAAGGAGATCCTCGAAAAAATAATCGATAAATGTCAAGCGTATGATTATATTTCGTGTCTTGATTCGAATAAGTTGGGTGTATGATTCTCAAGCATGACAATTTTTGTATATAATTCATCCTGTTTTTTTCTGCAATAAGTCTCTCTACTTTGATACTTGCCTACGTGATCACTATATGCGTTATGTTTGGAACGATTTAATTTACCACAATCTCTACAAGGGGTACATACTGGAGATTTCCGATGAATATGACATCCTTCTGATTTATAACTACGTCGACCACAGATTTTTCAGTTCTATGAATATATGGGCAATAGAAAATACCATTGGCCTTCATTGCTTTTGTATAAAAATTACTTCAATCAAATTTATATTTTTTCTTGGCATGATTTGTATGAAGAATTCTTTACGGAATAATTAATTTTATTTTAAAGATTTATCTACTGGTTATTATAGTTACAAAAGAATAGTACATATATAATTTTTGTTAAATCAAATAATGCATATACAAATAACACATATATACAAATCAATAAAATGAGCTTGTCTAGTGAAGCAAAAAAACATTTGCGTGAATCATTATTGCAAAGCAATGGCTCTTCGAGCTTACAACAGCAGTGCCTAAATCAAAAATCCATTGAATATAATGAGGCAAAAAGGCTTTTTATAGGTTTAACAGATCTTAATTATAAACCTGGTCATAAAGAACATACATTTCATAAATACTGGCTTGCATCTAATGGTCATGCCAGCTCTTCTGATAGAAACGATAT